AACTTTGGATGATTTTTTTCTTATTTCACAGGGATGTAAATTCAGATTGAAGAGGTAAGAAATCTGAAAAGAATACACGTGTAATTACTTCAACATAAGTAGGCATATATTTGGCCCAGTTAGATAATAAATGAATTATCCTAAATTGATATCAATGATATTTTTCATATTTACGGTTGCTAAGTAATAAAAACGCCGAAAAAGTTTAAATAATAAAATAATTGAATATTGAGACCACCTTCGTTGTCCGGCGCATTCGCCATTATATAAAATGTTTACCGGGGATATTAAAAAAGTATGATTTTGAGTCATAAAATATTAAAAATCGTATAAATACACTTATATATTTATAGACCTCCAAAAATTAAATATAACCAACGAATCACACCCTATCATATTTAAACCAACTTTTTCTCCCCATCCAGGACTAAAATTCCGACTTAAATGATTACAGATCTATCAACAATCTTATGTAATGATTGCTTTGTTGGACTAAAGCCAATAGAGACAGGTTGTTATAAAACACCTTAACTTAGTTATTTTACAACTGTTATTCATAAATAACAGTTTGTAACAGTTATTTTCAAAAAATAACAAGTATGAAAATAAAAGTGTGTAAACAACAAACTCCTGCAATTTTACGTCGATATTGTTACTTTACGAAATTCTACTAAATTCACAACAGTTTTTTCAAAAATCAACAGTTATCAAAAATAACAGTTGATTAGTAGTAACCGCTCGTGCCCGTTTTGTAATTTCTATGAAAATAACAGTATCCAAACATCGATGGTTGGCTATGTGAAGTCATGTTTTTTTTTTATTTTGAAGGCACAAATACATAAGTAGTTGTAAACGTTGTATATTGTACAGTGTTGTAGGTATACTCTAGACATATTAAATTTTTAAATATGTATTTACCTCTTTTTGCTACTTTTTGTTATTATATTAAGGGATGTGGAAGAGATTAAGTCATAATTGTTCAAAAATAAATAGAAACTTACAGATAATGAGGGAGACTGTTGACTGTACTGTCATCTTATTTTTAAAATATTTATTATTATATGTAAAAGTTATTCCTTTACCTTTGGTATATTGACTATTTAACAATAAAAGCTTTAAACAAAACAGAAATCTGTTATTGTAAGTTATTAATTTATAAATAACAGTAACAGTTCCAAGTTAGAAAAATAATTTTTGCACACCTCAAGAACAGTGACAAAAAATAAAAATTATAAAATAACATACCTATAAGTGATATTTGGTAATTATTGGGAAAACAAAAAAACAAAATTGGTATACACCCTATTTTGAGGTCGTAGATTACGAATCTGAATATTATGAATCTGAATCAATCTCTTTTTTCTTGGCGGTCTCTTACCGTTTTTTCAGAAAAACGGAAAATAATTTCAACATTGAATTTTTCTTTATTTCGGCCCTTTATAAAGTAATAACCTTGTAATAATTTCACTATATTTTCATTATACTATAGGTAGTTTATCTAAAAGCCACACTTGATTGAGGATAGAAAAATGTCCAAAATTTTACTGAAAAACACTTCTTTTATCAAAATAACAAAGAAAATTGAGACCAAATAGAAGTTTGACATTTCATATATCCTTCTTTCCCTCTCCTATGTAATGAGAGAGACAAATATATTCTAGACCGAATCTAGAAATTTGAAAATTTACAACGTTGCCATATCTTCTATTTTTTCGGGTGATTAGGGATTTTAAATAAATTATCTGTTATGAGATCTGATAATAGTTAAATATAAAATCCACAAGGTTACGCGGAAGAGTTTTGATTGCATTGGTTACAACTTCCATGCGGAGGGTGTTAATCTTTTGTTGTTATATTATATTAAAAAAAGATTAACCCCCTCCGCAAAGAAGTTATATAAATACTATTTATAACCACGAAGTTACACGAAAGAGTTTTGATTGCATTGGTTTCAACTTCTTTGCCGAGTGGGTTAATCTTTTTTTGATATATCAACAAAAGATTAACACCCTCCCCATGGAAGTTGTAAGCAATGCAATCAAAACTCTTTCGTGCAACTACGGGGTTATAGTAATATCTCGTTGGTAAAATAGCAGATATGGGAAGGAGCCGTTCTTCTGGCGACCACCTCACAGTGGGGTATTTGACACATATAGTTGATCGAAATTTTTTTATGTAGACCTTATATAAATTATTGCTATTTTCAATTAAAGAGGAAATAATATGAACAAAATAAAGGATAATTCGTCGATTCTAAAAAAAGAAAGAAAAATCACTGTTCCAGCATTTCCACGGTCAATGCCACTAATGCCAGTAGTAATATCGCAACTAATACTACTAATCCGACTGATCCGCGAGCAATGCCCATACCACTAAAGTCGCTACTAATGCCAAATTGTGCTATACTGCTAATGGCACTAATGCGATCGTTTTGTACACAACAATGCGATCGCGGTTTACACCTCGCATTAGTATATCACTGATTGACAAATTAGAGAAAACCAAGAATGTTTTTCTCATTTTATCAGCAAAGTCGCAAAAATTCGCAGTATTTTATTTTACTGTATGAAAGCCCAATGTTTACTAAGTAAAACGTATATAGACAATATGCTGAATTCTTCGAAATGCGCAACTAAATCTCTAAGTATAATAAAAATGTCACAAATTTAATCAAATTTTCTGAACGCCTAACTTTTAGTTGCAAAAAAAATCGTTGGTATAGAGAATATCAAAATAAATAATACGTTTTTGTAGAATACATACCTGCAGCTTGCTGAGCCATTTTCAATCAAAACTATAACATAAACGTAAAAAGAGCACAAGAACAACAACAATTTATAATTTTAAACATAAAATTTAGCCATTTACCTCTTATCTGTGAGAAGTAACAATTTTGGCGTTTCGTTGAAACAAATGAATGCAACTAAACACACCCATAGCAACGCCATTCATGGCAGAGATGATTTAACTTATCATTTATCTTTTTTTGGGAAATCTTAAACACATTTGCTTTTTCGAATTTCGATCACCTTTTTCATGCTAATACCCCACCGTGCGCCTTTTCTAATCCCAGAATGAGCGAAAAAAACAGGCTAAATTTAGGTTTAGCATTGGCAACGTTGCTTTAAATGCCAGAAACAGTATTGGTGGGTTCATACAGCCAAATAAAATAAAATAAGAATAAAATAAAATAAAATAAGAAAGTTGGTTATATGGGATACCGTACATGCGTTCATACGGCCAAATAAAATAACAAATAAAATAAGAAGTCTTTATCTTTTAACTTCTTGTTTTATTTTATGTGAATACGGCTTTGCGCACGCTTAATTCTAACCTACAAATATTTTCAGTTTGGATTTAATTTATTTTTTAATTTCACATAAGTAAAATGTATAATATAGTAGGCAACGAATAAATAAATATACTATAAATAGTAAAATTACTATAAACAATCGTAAAAGTTAACTTTTATCCGGCCTCATCGTACTGCGCATGAGCAAATATATATTTCTTATTTTATTTTATTTGCCTGTATGAACGCACACAAATAAGAATTCCTTATTTCTTATTTTATTTTATTCTTATTTTATTTTATTTGGCTGTATGAACCCACCTTATATTCTGACTTGCATCTATATCTAAACGTGACTCCGCATACCACGCAAGCGCCAATATATTCTCGCGCGAGTTATGAATTAAAGTTTTGTTATGTAGTGGGTATTATTTTACTTGTGAATCATAGTTTTTGTGTTTTGTGGCTGAAATACAATATGTATGTACATTTTGATGTGAATTAAGATTCTCTATTAAATAAGACACATAATAGGTAATTATTTCATCAACACAATTATTATATTCACATTAATATTAAGGAACATTGGACATAATACATAAAAATCAAAATGTGTCATTTGTAAATACACTGATCAACAATTGATAAGGATCACGAACTTATATCGCGATATATTTTTAGTTCCATTTTTTTAAATGTGTAACTGTTGATTTTTTAGAAATAATCGGGTTAAAAACTAGTCCAGGAAAAAAAACGAATTTATTTTAAAAAAATGTATGAAAAATCAAAATGTTCACCTATTTCCAGTTAAATCAAATTTTAATTTTTTTTAATGAATAATTTGTAGCATATGAAATTCATTGTTATGTCTTTGTGCCGCATTTCCAAGTGACATTCATCACACATTTCACTTTATTACACGTGCTTGAATAATAGTATTAAACGTTTTTAAGTTAAGCCTGAACCCTGAAATGACCGAAAACCCGAAAAAATCCTAATGTTGATCCTCATCAGCAATTGTTGAGCAATGTAGTTATGACTTTTAGTATCACAATTAAAACAACAAATAAAGAATAAAATAATAAAATATATATATATATATATATATATATATATATATATATATATATATATATATATATATATATATATATATATATATATATATATATATATATATATATATATATATATATATTTTGTCTAATAGACTAAGAAAATGATATAAAACTCTATTTTTTAATAATATTATGGAACCGATTTATTACAAGGAACTTGGGCTTCTTTTTCGTTAGTATATTCTGTGATGGCCCAGCCAGAAACACATAACCCAACATTTTCAGATTGTTTACAAATTTATTTTAGCAAATTTTCCTATATGATGCATTGAATTAGTTAAAAAAATAACAGAAAATAGCAAAAACATAATAGTTTATTGAATACCTAACAAAATATGTGCTAGAAAACCTTAAAAATATGAGAAATTATGAAAAATTCGATTTTGAAATAATTTTTCGTTTTTCTGAAAAATGGTAAGAAACCGCCAGAAAAAAAAATTCAGATTCGTAATCTACGACCTCAAAATAAGGTGTATACCAGTTTTGGTGAAAATCGGATGATTTCCAGTTTTCCCAATAATTACCTGATATTTTTCTACAAAAACTACTCAACATCTACACCATGCATTAGAAATAAAATACATACATAGATATCTTCATAGACAATCAGATATATTCTTAAAGCAACTTGTAAATCATATCCAGAAATTTCTACAGAAGTCTTGAACTTTAAGCCCGCCACTGACTTCTTTATTCTTCACCAAAAACACTATACACACTGTCAAAACTTAACACGTAGAGTTTATTTTCACCTCAGACACACTTTGTTGTTCTTTTTTTGCTTTAGCCACCATTTTTCTATGTCTGCTTGAATTGAAATGATCTTTCCTTTGAATTTGACCCACTAAAGTTTTGTTGCAAATATCACAAGTAAAACACTCCATCATAGAAGATGGAACAGAGTCTTTCTCTTCTAAAGGTACAGGTTGGATACCACAGGGTGTGCCCGATATGAACTGTTGAACAATTTGAAAAGCTGGCTGCTTAACTTGGACTTCCCATTTAGAAACATCAGACGTATCTAATGCGTAAATGGGTGGAACCTAAAATATTACAAAATAATTACTTATAATATGATGGATATACAATCATTTACATGATCTAGATAATACTATTGCCCTATCTAATCCTAATTATTACCTCTCTATTTTTTCGGCCTAAAAATCTATTTACAACCCATTTTATTTGCTTTCTTGCATATCTTCGAGTAACTAATTTTAACCTTTCTATGGCCTCATGCAGAATTTTCTGCCCATCTTTTGATGCTTTTTCTTCATCGTTTAGTAAAAGATAATCATGAAATTCCTTAAAACCTATAGATTGAAAGACTCCCTTTGTGTAATCTAACTCTCTGAAAACATGTAATATAAAATTGTATAGTTCACAGGAACCTCTATCTTACTCATTATTTTTTATCCTTTGTTCATTATATGATTTATGGAAAGCTAAAAGTTCATCAAGGAGACCTTCTTGAATCATATTGTCTACCCTGTCATCTAATCTTTTATTTAATATATTCTAAAATAATAAATTAAAAGTATACTCCAAAATAGACTTAAATAATAATTTCAAACCTGATTACATTGTAACCAGAGTATAACTGCATTACTATATCTTAGACCTCCATCACTCTTTGATAAACTTTGGGTATGTTGATGTTCTAAAATCTCACTATGTTTCCTTCCCTTTGTATAGAGCACTTCTAAAGATCTAAAGAAAGTACCAATCAGAAAATGTAACAAGGAATACAAAAATTATACTACCTACCGCATAATTTTTCTTTTATTGTTAGGATGTAATCTTTTTGCCATAGCTGGATCTAACTCCATCAACTTCTTATGAAGTTGTTCACTTGGTAGTTCATAATCCTCACCAGCCAACATTTTAGCTTTTTCACATACAACTTCATCAATTTCCTGAACTAAAGTTTTATACAAAATTGATTCAATATAATAATTAGTACCACCAACAATTATTGGAAGTTTTCTATACTTTAATAAGTTATCAATAATAGGTAGAACTTTATTCCTATATTCTAGAACTGTAAAATTTTCAGAAGGTTCCAATATATCTATCATATGATGTGGAGCAATTGATTGTTCATCTTTTGTTGCTTTTGCTGAAGCAATATCCAAATTTCGATAAATCTAGATAGAATATTAAATTTTAATTATTATACCTATATAAATATAAAAGTAAAAGCCTATAATTAATATTAAATATACCTGCATTGAATCGGCACCAATTATTTCTCCACTAAATTTCTTAGCTAACTCCAAGGATAGTTTGGTTTTACCGGTACCTGTAGAACCCAATACTATTACTACAGGTAATTCAATACTCATTTTACTTCCCATTGATTTTTCTATAGTAAGTAATCTAAAAAAACATGCCTAATTAATGTTTTTTTCACAAATTAATTTTTACAAATTCAATGTCTCTGTTACCGACATATTTTTATTGCGTTTTGTACAAACTGGTAATAAACAATCACATCTATTATTATAATGAATAGCTTTAAGATTTGATATTAATGAACAAACTTGGTGATTAAAATTGTTAAAGAAAAGAAATTTAAATTTGCCCGTGGATTTAAAAACATGTGCCCATTGGAAGTTCTTCGTTCTTCTTCTTCTTGTTTTTTAACTCGGATGGCATTTTATCACCAATATTACTTTTTGTTATATATGAAGGATGTCTAAAATTATATAGATCATATATTTAGAACTTTGCGACATATATTTATATATGATTTTTAAAAAAGTATATGATGGAATTGAACTTCAATTGAAATTGCCAACCTGCCAACCTTATATGTCAATGTCAAATGTCATTACATTAATGTCAGGTTAAAAATTTATTCAAGATTCCAAGTTTTTATTCTCAAAAATCTCAGTAAATGATTGTTTTTTATTAATTATCCACGGCTTTAAATATCACAAAATAGTTATGATATTATTTATAAAGTTTTATTAAATTTTTATTGTTATTTTCATTGGAAATACGTAACTATGGCTCGACACAGAGATATTAGAAATATGGATTATGAAGATGGTAAAACAATTCCACATTATTTTTGTTAAAATATTTATAATTTATGTTTTTTTAGAATATGACGCATATGACGATGTATACGGACATTCTGTAGATGACGATTATTATATTTCACCGAGTAACAAACAGTTTATTTACAACAGGGAGTCTTCTCGCGATTCCAGATTTGAACATACTGAAGATGACATCCAAGAAGTAGACGAAATTGAAGAGCTATCAGACACAGACAAGGCTAAATTGAATTCCTGTATCGATCAGATTAAAGACATTTTAGGATCCACTCTAGTTCCTCGCAATGAGCTTGTTAATTTAATAATGAAATATAAGTTTAATATTGACCTGGTAGTAAATGCGATACTTGAAGATTCAAGATACAGTAAACACAATGGAAATGCAACGGAGAAAGGTGAGTATTTATAAGTATCTAAAGCGATTTTATAAAACTTATTTCTTTTTTTATGTGCTGTTTTTGTTGATTTTTCGGAAGGTAAGATGTGGGACCATGTTTGAGTAATATAGACCAACCAAAATTAAATTGTGTTAAGACAGAGGGACTCAAATTTAATATTCCAAAATTATTCCAACAATCTAATAATCAGAATGAACTCAAAACTAAATTTTCAATTCCTAATATATTTAAATCAGAACAACCAAATTTTAGTTCAAAAAATATGAATGACGAAGGTTTTAACTCACTGTCAGATTTGGTTTCTAGTCATTTAAAAAACACTAACAAACTTTCTAATGTAGATTTATCAGAAAATACCAGAGAAAAAAAATTGTGCACAAATGATAGAGTCAATAATTTTAATATCAATTTACCCTCTGCTAAACAACCTAACTATGAAAACAAACTCAAAACTAATTTTTTAATTCCTGATATATTTAAATCAGAACAACCAAATTTTAGTTCGAAGAATAATTTTAATATACCAAACATATTTGATTCAAAGAACCCTAACTTAAATTTAATATCTCACAAACTGTCAAATGTAGATTTATCAGAAAATACCAGAGAATCAAAATCGTGCACAAATAATAAGGTCAATAATTTTAATATTGATTTATCTGCAGCTTTAAAAGCAAGTAACAGCTTACCAAATTTGCCAAAGGTTAAAGTTGTGCCTGAGAAATTTGAAATTCCATTTATCGATTGTGATTTCAGTAAAACTGATACTCAAAACTTTGGGAGTACAGGAATTATGCCATGTTTTTTAGATATAAGAAAATCCGTAAATTTTAACAAGGTCAATTTGAAAAATGCTACTCAGTTTGGAAAAGTTGTTTGTAGTAAATACAAACACCCAAAAGTTGAAAATGTCTTATTCAAGAATAGAAATAGACATTCTATTAAAATGTTTACATTTAATACTATGTCGCCTGATGATATTATCAGTTTTCACTTAAAAAGATAAAGAAATAGTCAATATAAGTAGTTCAAAATTTTTTAGATATTTGTTTTATTTAGTATTAAAGTATAATAAAATACAATAATTTTTAGTGTAGAAATATTTTAAAAATTTAATGTGCATGAGTTTACAGATGTTTTTTTAATTTTAAACAATAATTTTAACAAATAACGTTTGTTTTATTTGATTTTATACAAAAAATTAATGTGTACAAAAGGTTGTGATATTTTATAAATTGCTTTTTTTTAAAACGAAGTGTTTTAATGAGGAATTTGATATTATTTCAAATCTTATATTAAAATCTTGATTGAATTTCCAAGATTCTATTGGTGTTATTAGGTATTAGCCTTGTTTATATATTCTTAAAGTTGTTCAACCGACTAGACAAGATGTGCTGCCAGCTGGAGGACAAATCGTGAACCTTTCGAGGCGGAGTCAAAAATATCGATTATTTTCGTTATTTTCTTCAGAGTAATGTAATAATATAGCCTGGGTTGGCTGCATCTTTAATAGTGATCAGCTGATTAAGAAATTTAAACGAAACTTTTATTTTATTGTAGATTGTGGATTATTTTTGCCTGTTATTTTAAAAATTCTAAACCGTATTAAGAAAGAAATTATTATTTCGATATGTTGGTACATTTTTTATAACTTATGATAATGCTAATTACTGTTAATTAATATTTAGAAAAAGTTACATACCTACTTTAATTTGATTTGATGCAGGTTTATAAAAGAATCATTTCATTCTTAGAACTACTACAATTATTACAAGAAAAACAAAAAGAAGAAATACCCAAATACCCCTTCACTTACTACTCAACTACAAAATAAACGAATATAATCTCTTAAAAACACTACACAACTACTTATTCTTGTATTCTACACTGAACAAATTCTCAAACTTACTAATTTATCAAACAAAAAGAAAAAATAACAAAATTATCCCTTCACCTACTACTTAACTACAAAATAAACTATAAAAACACTACTAAACTATTTTTGGTAGACTACACTAATATGCTACACTAAACACTATAATTAAACTTAATAAATTAATCTAATTTTACACTACAACTGCAAAGAAAAAAGAACATTTTCTAAAACTATAAGAAACAGAACTTCCATACGTGCGACCAGAATAGGTCAGGGGGACAAAGAATATAAAATACTTTAAAATGTGCATTCAGAAAGAAAAAATACCTCGAAAATTATCTAAACAAACATTTTTATTTCTTATCAGTGAGAAGCATCGGACTTGAAGAATTTGTCGGGTATTTACAATGGTCGAATTGTATAATTGCCAGCTTTTATAGCATATCTAATAGACAAAAAGTATCTGGTCGATTAGTAACCAATTGGCATAGTCCGAAAATTATCGATTTTTATTTTCTCTGTTTTTATTGGTAGCTTCAAAATTCAGAGTAACAAAAAATATTTTTCTGTAGGGAAACCGGTCCTGCCATCTAGTAGTCTTAGTCCATAAACGTCTTAGGTTGATCTACTTTAAAAATATATATACAAGGGTATTAGGTATAGTTTTCATTTGTTTTTTGAAATAAAGAAAGAAGGGTATTAGTTTTTTCTTTCAATCACTAATAATTATAATTCTATGAAATAAAATTTACCGTGTAGACGTAGAGTATCATATTTTATTTTAGTTAAGAAAATATATGTTTTATACTGGATAAAATCAAACAAAATTGACAGTACAGTTGCTAAAATACTAAAATTACCTAATCAGGGGTATAAGGGAGTTACATAAAGTAGATTTATTTCTGCTACACCCAGTGGCGGCTCGTTAGGGTAGACCTCTGAGGCCGCGCCTCAGCTTTAAAATGGAGGAACGATTTGTATCTAGCTTTTTATTTAATCCCTGTATAACATAACAATTCTACAACACATTCAAAATAATAATACTGAAAAATATATATTATATAAATACATCCAGCTCCAGGTGCAACATAAGTCGCGTAAACCTAGCGTAAAAAGAACGCGACTCGACAGAGGCGAAATAATTAGAAAGTTCGAATTACCTACCTATTAGCAGCGATGATTTAAGATAATGTGACGCGACGGGGTACGCATTCTCTATCGCAGGGTTGAGGCGAGATATTTGACGCTTGGGTGTGTTTTCATATGGTTTTCATTGGAAGTTTAAATCATCTGACTATTGACTATTGAAAAGTGCGATGTCTCGATCTCATATGCATGACTCATGAATTTAAAGTGCCGATGCCGGTGGCTGGCCGGTCGGTGGTGAGAACAGCGTTGGGTGAATTAATTAGGTCATGTTTTTGTCATTATTTGGACATTTAGGGCGAGAATTATTTTATTGTTTGTGTTTCTAAATTTAAATTATTTGATGCCTATTAGATATAGTATTTTTAACTCAATTACACACAGAGAAGGTGGAATTTTAGCAGTTTTTAAAATTCAACACAACAAATATTGTTGAAATTAGCAAGTTTAGGCTTTTCTTCGCCGGTAAGATTTTTTTTATATATTTTAAGTGCCGAAGAGGAGTTGAATTTTAGTGTTTTCTTTAAAATGAATCCTATTGATATCGTTATTCTTTGTGTACTTGAAACTCATTTTCTAAGACGAAATGAAACTGAAAAAAGACAGAGATATTAAGGAGCCAAGAATTTCAATATTTAACAATAAGAGGCAAGACAGGCAATAGGTATTTAAGACCTTTTCAATTATCTTGGTTCTAATCGTAATACTGAAACCTATTAGATATAGTATTTTTAACTCAATTACACAGAGATAAGGTGGAATTTTAGCAGTTTCTAAAATTCAACACAACAAATATTGTTGAAATTAGCAAGTTTAGGCTTTTCTTCGCCGGTAAGATTTTTTTTATATATTTTAAGTGCCGAAGAGGAGTTGAATTTTAGTGTTTTCTTTAAAATGAATCCTATTGATATCGTTATTCTTTGTGTACTTGAAACTCATTTTCTAAGACGAAATGAAACTGAAAAAAGACAGAGATATTAAGGAGCCAAAAATTTCAATATTTAACAATAAGAGGCAAGACAGGCAATAGGTATTTAAGACCTTTTCAATTATCTTGGTTCTAATCGTAATACTGAAACCTATTAGATATAGTATTTTTAACTCAATTACACAGAGATAAGGTGGAATTTTAGCAGTTTCTAAAATTCAACACAACAAATATTGTTGAAATTAGCAAGTTTAGGCTTTTCTTCGCCGGTAAGATTTTTTATATATTTTAAGTGCCGAAGAGGAGTTGAATTTTAGTGTTTTCTTTTAAATGAATCCTATTGATATCGTTATTCTTTGTGTACTTGAAACTCATTTTCTAAGACGAAATGAAACTGAAAAAAAGACAGATATTAAGGAGCCAAAAAATTTCAATATTTAACAATAAGAGGCAAGACAGGCAATAGGTATTTAAGACCTTTTCAATTATCTTGGTTCTAATCGTAATACTGAAACCTATTAGATATAGTATTTTTAACTCAATTACACAGAGATAAGGTGGAATTTTAGCAGTTTCTAAAATTCAACACAACAAATATTGTTGAAATTAGCAAGTTTAGGCTTTTCTTCGCCGGTAAGATTTTTTTTATATATTTTAAGTGCCGAAGAGGAGTTAAATTTTAGTGTTTTCTTTAAAATGAATCCTATTGATATCGTTATTCTTTGTGTACTTGAAACTCATTTTCTAAGACGAAATGAAACTGAAAAAAGACAGAGATATTAAGGAGCCAAAAATTTCAATATTTAACAATAAGAGGCAAGACAGGCAATAGGTATTTAAGACTTTTTCAATTATCTTGGTTCTAATCGTAATACTGAAACCTATTACGATTTAATATTTGTATAATAAATAAAAAATATAAATTATTAACCTCATGTAGCCTCACCTTCCCATATACTCACGAGCCGCCACTGACTACACCCTCTACACTATGCGGAAACCAGTACGAAGCAGGTCAAGGTCGTGTTTACTCGCACTAACTTTGTCTTGTTTTGGTTTATCTCAGGTTGTCTCGGCCTATTTCCGTTTGTCTTAACCTACTTTCATTTCTTAAAAACGCCTCGAAACTACTCGTTAATTGCGGAGAAGGGCGTGGGGGATTTTTTTGGCCACGTTCGGTTGTTTTCTGTACTCTCGTTCAATTTCGTTTTGTCTCGAGCTACTTTCACGACGCGACGTGTCGATTTCTATACCCGAGACAACGGACTTTTTTTCATAAATATCAGTGAAGTAAACCTTGACATTTCTAAAATATCTGTGAATATGATGATATTTCGTTAATTACTATTCTTTTGATGTTGATATATATTCCACAAGATTAATGTTTGAACACGCGTTTAAATAATATTTTTTATAGTAGATATTTAAAAACAAAACTTTTCACTGAATCAATCAGGAATATAATTACAATATTTTTATTTAATTTTATTATAATGAATTAGTATATAAAATTGTATATATTATGTTTGTTTATGGCCTTAATTGATAAATATAACAGTAGAATTGCTTGATATGAATAATACTGATAACATCATCAAAATATATCAGGCTTATTGGGAAAATTATTGATAGACCTGATGTCAACAAAAGTATGGTCCACGGACATTTTTAAAAAGCAATGTTCTCTTATTGATTTTAAGAGAAAACTGTAAACGATATTTTTGTTAGCACACAGCATACTTGTGTAGAGCGTCAAATTCTCCATAAAAATGTACTGTATACTTTTTTATGTTCAACTCAAAATTAAACGAGATAGGGTGGCTAGAAGCTAAGGGATGATAGTAGAAAAGATGATAGTAGATATTTAAAAAAATCATAAGTTGCTGAAAAATTCAGATATTTAACATTTTCTTTCAATTTGCTCGAAAATTATAATCTTCATTTCAGATTCTTTTAAATTCATTCCCGGGAAGGGGTGAAAAATTATAAAGTTTTTTTTCAAATTTTGGGAGAGTGACCAGGATTATAAAGAAAAAGTACAATAATAAAAATGTCTAGGGGATGATCCCCTAGCTTCTAGTCACTCTATCTCGGTTAATTTTGAGTTGAGCAAAAAAAGTATAGAGATCATTTTTATGTAAAATTTGACGCTCTACAACTTTTATTTAAACTTTTTTTCTAGTCATTACCGTTTCTCCGAAATTGCGAAAAAATACTTTATTTACGTATTTCGCCCCTTCTCCGGGGTGAATTTAAAAAATCTTTTACAGTTCGTTTTTAAATCTGTCAAAGTAACATATCAAAAATTCAAGTATTTCTAAACATTAGTATTTGAAGACCTATTTTCTTGGACTAAATAATTCTTGGCTCCATTGTAATCAACATATATATATATATAAAATGGTAATGTTTATCTGTGTCGTCTCTACTGAAGTAACGACTTGCTCTAGAAAGTTGCTTTTTTTTTACTAAAAGATGGCTAATTGGCTCTTCTAAAAACTGTCGTCGCCGGATTTTTTGTTTTTCATTTAATTAAAAAAAATAAGTATTTTTTTCCTGATGTCGTGACGGATGCACCAGGCTTCAACTAGCAATTAATAAAATACATTAAGATAAATAAAAATGAAAGGTATTCTTTTTGGAGGGAAATCAATTAAATTCATAACAATATCAACTAAAAATTTCAATCTTGGGTATTGAAAAGTAAGCAAAAAGTTTATAATAAGTTTTAACATAAATTATCTTAAAAAGTTACATAAAATTTACGTAGACTCTGACTATCTTCATTTTTCAAAAGTTATCAACTCTGAGCTTTTAAAAATTAGATTTTGGGGTTGTTTCCACTGGTGTATAACGTAATTCATTCCCGCTTTAAAGCTGGTCCATTCGTTGTGCCCACCGTAATCGAACCGTCGACCACCACGTCAAGCGTTTGGGCGGTTGCTTCGGCAACTACATCCACCAACATAGTCAAAGGGTTCGATGTACCGGAAAAGGAGGCGGAAACGCAACCCAAGACCGTCGATTTTATCCAGAAGGACAGACTGGGCGGGACACCTCGGTCCCAGAGTCCCGCGGGAAGGGGCCAGAGTCCAGCATCTGCAAGAGGCCAGAGTCCAGCCTCTGGGAGGGGCACGCCGTTGTTCTTGTCGTCCGACGGAGATGACGTCAGAGGTAAGAAAAATACTTATAAGTTTTAAAATGTCAAGAAGCCAAAAATTTATTTAGTTCAATGCTACGACAAGGGTGATAGTAGTTATCGAAAAATTTGATACTTTAACCATAGATAAAAGAAACAAGTTTAGATTGGAAAGTGTCCATAAGGACAATGTAAATCCTATTTGGCGCTATTCTTACAACGGTCGCTCTCGAAAGCTTTTGATAATTTCGGAGCGGTTCGGCTTTTTCCGGAATTATGTCACCAAATATTATTTATTCGAATTTATTATTTTCTTTTAATTTTTTAAATAAAATATAGTGTGTTGCATATAAGAAACTATATTTTATATAAAGATATGAAACATTGGAAACCGACGTTATGCCACGATCCACGATGATTTTTGCAGTTCACAGTTTACACAGCTTTTTAAGTTTTTAATGCCACCTATTCACAATTATCACGGGTTTTTGGTTAAATTAAACTCACAAGATAGCAATGATTACTTTGAAAATGGACGCTTTAAATACTTTTCGGTATTTTTTCAATGAGGGCGGTTTAAATTTTGAAAGATTTTATAATTTTTGATTATTCTGACTTTGACAAGAGAAAATTATTTCTGTTCTTGTTTGCGGTTGTTCTTAGCAGCCGCTATAGCAGCGCCCTACAACGTATGCGCTCAAAAACAGTTATAAGTTTTGGCGGCAAAACGACCATTCCAATCGAAACTTGTTTCCTTTATCTATGACTTTAACAACAATTGAACAACAGCAAAAAATATGGTTTTAATCAAAAGCTTTATCAAAAGTAACAATAACCATCTATCAAAGAATTAATTATAAATTATATTACCATAGACGACTTTTGATTTTTAGGACTTTATTCATATTTTTTTTTTCTCTAAAACGGTGTGGAAATTTGGAAAAAGTATACACGGTATTTACCATTTTAGAACAAGCAAACATTTTTATGAAGAATGCATTTTTCTCAAAATTCCAATAACGACAAAGTTTTTCCTCTTGTAAATACAATCCGGGGACATACTATATATGTCCCGGTTTTTAAAGTGTCTGGGCTGGGATTTGAAAAAAATGTCCGAGAAATATAATCATTTTTAACTCATCTTTGTTGAATATTTTAATTTTTATAATGACATAATTTCTAATAAACCGTCATTGTTCGAAAGTATCCATCTATCTGGTCAATTTTGCAGTTTTCGGTGCACTCGTGGATGTAAAATAATAATAGCTCCCGTATATAGCATTTAACGCCTTGGGAGTGGCAAGGTACAGCTTGCTATACTAGAGCCGTTTGGTATACAAGGAATTTTTTATTACCTCACCGCCTATTATTACCTCAGGATTGTGAATCCCAAGTACTCATTTAAGGCTGAGTCGACCTTGGGGTTGCAACCCAAACTATTTTTGTTTTATTAAAAATAGTCGGCTGATGAAATGCTGGCTGTGGGATTCGAACCCACAACCATTGAATTGGTAGAGCTGGCGTAAAGCTGTACCTCTACACCATCGGGACACGTGAATATAAATTGTGGAATCTTTTGTCTTCATTTTGGTTATGATTACGTGCGCTTTATGAATATGTCTGTCCAACGATCCATTTCAGTGACAGTAGTGACTATGTCATTTTAATAACATAGTCACTACATAAGTAAATTGTATTATCTGTCATTTTTTGAATGTTATATGCCGAAATCTTGCCTATCTCGCCAGACAGACTTTAGTTCATGCTACTTGAATACGAGAAAAACAACTTTGTCCGTTATAATTGGAGCCGAGAAAAACGCAATTTAGTATTAGAATATTATCCCCTTTCGATAATTTTTAAATAAATATATTATTTTCGGTTGAATAATTAGAAAAATATGCAGGGTCGGACCACCCTGGACTTTTTTCTTAAACCTCAGTGAAATAAGTGTACCTAGACGTTTCTAAAGTATTTGTTGTTAAGATGATATTTTGTTAATTAGATCATATGTTGTATGTTGATATACAGGGAGGTCCGAACTGTATTCCGGAAATTTCGGCAGCCAAAGTTAAAACACATGTAGGGTGCCACCTACATGTGTTTTAACTTTTCTAAAGAGAAAATAACTTTTCGTCGGTACCTCTATAAAACTACTGTGTGAAAACCGCTGTGTACATTTTTGTGACATTTTACTTAAAAAATGTCTTTTGGAAAAATTGCTACGAGCAACCGTTCTCAAGATATTTAGAATGGAAATAGTCAGTACATGTCATTATTGACAAAAAATAAACATAGTTATTTGACTGAAATTATAAATTTGGGAACTTTTTATTTTTTTAAATTAATCATAAAATTTTCTTCGAAAAAATGACGGTAAAACAGTTTCTGTTGAACTTTTGGCACAAAAACTTTTTAAACGTATGATTTCAGTCTAGTAACTATTTTTTGTCAACATTTTTAATTTATGTCATTGACGACAGGTGTTGATCATTTCAATTCCAAATATCTCGAGAACCATTACTCGTAGCGATTTTTACCAATAGACCCTTTTTACGTAAAAAACGTCGTAAATGTATATTTTTTTACCCAGTAGTGTTATACAGGTACGGACGAAAAGTTATTACTCTTCAAAGCAGTTAAAAATATGTAGGTGGCGCCCTCTACAAATAGGAGTCATATTGACATCAAAATCAAATTTCTCATGCAAAAACTTCCAAGCAGCAATTTTCATCCAAGCATTGACGTTACTTCATAAATTATTTAGAAAAAATCGCGCGCGAAATAAAATGTAACTTTTATACAGGTATCTCCGACACTAAGCATTTTAGGACATACATTTATACGAACTTTTTTACTTATTTTTATCTGTAGAATATGCTGCCAAAGTTTCCGGAATACAGTTCAGACCACCCTGTATTTTACTACTAATTCTGAATTATTAGATATTGTTAATTGTATGGTTAATTATTATATTGTCAATATTAAATATTGTTAATTAAAGGTTGTGTAAAACCTAAATCTAAACTATTATTTTTTTAAGGAAGAAAATTACTTACTATTTAAGTAGATTTTTATTAGAATACATAAATTAAAAAAATTTAAACAACAGTGTTTTTAAGTTCGGCTAAATATTTGTCACAGGTGCTGCATGTATCCTATCGGGGATTACCGAAAGATATTTTGTAATTTCTAAAATATTTTCTATATGACTCATAGGAGACGTTAATATTAGGATATTGCTCTTTAAATAGCCCATACATTTTCTTTATATTAAGATCTTTAGGAAGATACATTTTCTTTGATTTATTTAGGCTACCTTTAAAAGATTTTATATGGGCATCAATTTTTTCTTTAATATCCAATTGCAATCTGTTTGGTCTATTACCATGGGTTCCACGTTGGTCTTTTGGAGCTGTCCCCATCAACTTCAAAGAATTCTGTACATATTCAACCTTTGACCTGGTAATGCCGTGTATGGCAATAAAAGCTCTGATACATACTGGAATTTCCAGAGTAATATTTTCCCTTATAACTCGTACTTGAAAACCATATGAGCAATCATGGTGCGAAGCATATTTCTCATCGCGTCTTGGTCTTCTTCTTCGAATATTACGAACCGTAATAAGCGACGCTAGGTACTTATTTTGATCGTTTCTGTCGGCCATTTGATTGAACTCTGTTATAATAAGCATTCTTTCATCTTCTGTAATATTTTCAAAACACTTTAACCGTTTACACTTACAGTCGGTACCGGGTACATGCGCTTGCACCCTAAGTTTTTTCCAAACATCTCTTAAACGTCCAGATTCCTTCTTTCTTACAGGAAAATCCTCAAGTAACGCCACTGAACTATCACCACTATCATCACTCATATTTTACATCTATATCTAAACAATTTTCTTAATATAAAAACAACAAAACCAGCTGGTAGTTTACTGTATACTCATACCAACTGCAAGATGCATGTGTGTTTGTCGCCCAAGGTCATATCTGACTCTGTTTTTACCGTTTACGCGTCGACTAGGGATGGCAAAAAGACTAAATATATCGATATATTGTATCATAAGATATATCGGAATCATATATCGAATGGAAAATATCGATATATTTTGTATATCGATATGAATTACACAATTCTTTTATTTCGATTGGAAACCAAATATACCATATGATCGGAAAAAAAAGTCCAGTTGGCTCGGAAAGTACGTGTGATTAGGTAGGCGACAAAATTTCAGTTGCGTCTATTTTATCGATCTAAGGATGATTTTATGTATCTTAGGAGTACAGCATAGAATTTTATTTTATTTTTATTTATTTACGCAAACTTAAAAATTGGTAGTATCGAGAGAAAGAATAATTTTATGTTTTATATATTAAATTGCTGAGTCGATCTCTTAATAAAGAAAAGTTATTTATTATTATATCAGTAAAATCATCAGATTGTTGAAGAGCTGTGAAAAAATTTTTAGATTGAAAGTAAGGCAAGTGACGATAAACATTTATTTTTCATGGAATCTCTACTATAAATTTTAATGCATTTCATACATGGAAAAGTCTCTCAACCCAAGTACTTGTAAATGGTGTAGTAACAAACAAAACAAACAATTTGAAAGCCTCTGGAAATATATTTCCAGGATTACTCTGCCGTCCTAAAAACACATGCCGTATCTACAACGAGCGCCAAGCGGAGAAAAATGAGGTTAAAATTATTTGATTAGTCCTTGACTATTAGGAAAATTTAGAAGATAACAATCGTGAATTATTGAACAAAATAAGTATAAAAATAAGTTAAGTACTCAAAAATAATCGTATTTATTAACATTAATTTAAAAAATCATTTACGGCGTTTTGAACTAAAATTTTATGGCCTTTATGCAAAACAAAAATGCCGTATGTGCGCAAAGCTCTCAATAGATTGACAAAAATGTATAAATATTTATTTTTACTTTGAATAAGACTATAGATTAATTTTTTAATGTGCTTTATTAGGTGCTTTATTAGGTTATAATAATATGAAATAATCGCAAATATA